AAAATTAACTGGATGAAAATTTGAATTCTGTCCAATGGATTGAAATGATTTAAGGTTGGACTTTGTCAGTTTAAAGAGATTGATGGATGGATGGATTAGATACGTATAGGATGGATTAATATTTTATTATAAATAAGGGATATTATTTGGAAGAAGAAATAAATAAGATCTATGATAAAATTAAGGAATTAGAATATATTTGGAAGGGATACCCGAACTGATAATGTTTGTACTTACAGTTATTTTGACTATGGTATTGTAAATTTATAAAGCTTTAAAAACAGGTTTAGGTTGAATTTAAGGGAAAAAGAGAGGGAATATTTGATGTATTGATTGAATTATGTATGTATGTTTTGTCTGCAGATGTTTGGCCACCCTAACACCACGGTGGGCCTTGAGTACTTTGTTTTAAAAATAAAAAAAAACAATAAAACTTGTCTTAAAAAAAAAAGAAGTTTATTGTGGGAGGGGAAAAAGTCTGATTTTAACTGAAGTTGATTACTCTGAAATGGCCCTCAGTCTTAAAGCTTCTTGACCAGTGGTTCTCAACCTGTGGGTCGGGACCCCATTTGGGATCGAACGACCATTTCACGGGGGTCGCCAAACAACGCACTCCACCATTTTTTCCCCCTTTTCCTTAGCTGTGCTACTCCCTTTTATTCTATTGGCTTTTGAAAGCCAATAGAATAGACTCTCTTGAATAGAGTCTAATTCTATTGGCTTTCAAAAGCCAATGGGAATTGTCCAGGCTGTCTCTGCCCTGCTGAGCCCGCCAAAAGTCCCATTCTGCAAATGGTGTTGCGCCAGTTGAGTAGTCCTCGACTTACGACCGGTTGAGTAGTCCTCGACTTACGACCGGTTGGGAGTCGCAGCATTAAAAAGGTTGAGAACCACTGTTCTTGACTATGTTGGGATGTTTTGCTATTTAACCACAAGAGGGAGTCAAAAACCAGAATATTGCTTCCCAAAGATGCTTCTTCAGCAGACAACTGGACTTTCTTTTGAAAAACGAAAAGAAAAACAAGAAGGTCTAGTTATCTTGCGACAACTTTGGGATAACTACGGCAGGACCTGGATGACTGAGAATGTGAGAGGGACTTTAGGAGTCCGAGTGGACGAATGCTTGACCATGAGCCAGCTATGTGCAGCAGCAGCCCAAAAAGTTAATACAATCCTCAGTTGTACAAACAGAGGCATAGAATCAAGACCATGTGAAGTACTAGCACTGCTTCATAAAAACCCTAGTAAGACCACACCTGGAATACTGCAACCAATTTTGGAAAAAGTTCAGAGAAGAGCAACTAAAATGATCAAAGATCTGGAGACTAAAACATATGAAGAACAGCTGCAAGACTTGAGCTTGGCTAGTCTAAAGAAAAGAAGAAATAGGGGTGACATGATAGCAGTGGTCCAATATTTGAGGGGCTGCCACAAAGAGGGCATTTATCTATTCTCCAGATCACCAGAGCGCAGGACAAGAAACAGTGGTAGGAAACTGACCAAAGAGAGAAGCAACCTGGAACTAAGGAGAAACTTCCTAACTTTGAGGACAATTAACCAGTGGAACTGCTTGCCACCAGAAGTCGTGGGCGCTCCATAACTGGAAGAAGAGGCTAGACAGTCACTTGTCTGAGATGTATAGGTTCTCCTGCTGGAGAAGGGGGCTGGACTAGAAGACTTCCAAGACCACTTCCAACATTGATTCTGTTCTGTTCTGTCCCGTTCTGTTCTACTCTACTCTACTCTACTCTACTCTACTCTACTCTACTCTACTCTACTCTACTCTATAGACCAGTGGTTCTCAACCTTTCTAATGCCGCGACCCCATAATACAGTTCCCCATGTTGTGGTGACCCCCAACCACTTATACATCACCGGGTACCAGGGACATGGACAAACAAAAGGGGGGAAAATGGCTGCCTTGTTTGGCGACCCCCGTGAAATGGTCGTTCGACCCCAAATGGGGTCCCGACCCACAGGTTGAGAACCACTGCTATAGACAGAATATTGCTTGTAAGCAATTCACTTAATAAACCTTTAGTGGTGCTATTTGAACACAAGAGGGAGACAAAAACATTGCACGTAAACTACTAATTTAGCAGAATAAGTCTCACAATTCACAGTTTCACAACACTTTTGTTACTAGAAGAAAATAGGAAAGGCAAATCTGAACCCCTAAAAGGTATTGTAGCGCTAACCCCGAAAGGGCTGCTGGCTGCTGGTCCATAGTGGTCCCTCACTTAGGCACCTCTGCATGGCTGGAAGACATGATGAGGTGGTGGTCAGTCTCTCTTTGCAGGCAGGTCACATGCAGGGAAAGTGTTCAGGTGGCTGGTCAGTAGTAGTAGTAGTAGTAGTAGTAGTAGTAGTAGTAGTAGTAGTAATAGTTCTTCTTCTTCTTCTTCTTCTTCTTCTTCTTCTTCTTCTTCTTCTTCTTCTTCTTCTTCTTCTTCTTCTTCTTCTTCTTCTTCTTCTTCTTCTTCTTCTTCTTCTTCTTCTTCTTCTTCTTCTTCTTCTTCTTCTTCTTCTTCTTCTTCTTCTTCTTCTTCTTCTTCTTCTTCTTCTTCTTCTTCTCCTTTTGTGGGAGGAAAGACCTAGTGGGCAAGATGCAAAATCACCCCAGATGTTTCTCCTGCTGCAATTGGCATAGCTGCCTTGAGGTCTTTCAAGAGAATCCCTGGTCCTCTTCAGCTGCTGCTGCTGCTCTTTCTCCCACAAGATCTGGGTAAGTGTTGACAACTGAGATCAGGCAGGCTCCATTCTCAGATTTACAACAGGAGTAAAATCCAGCGCAAGATCAATGTTAAGGCTGCTTCAAAGCTACTGTGCTATTCTGGACAGGGAGATGAGCAGATTTCCCAGCAAAGGCCAGTTCCAGATGTTAGATCTGGAGAGGAGAAGATTTCTTCCATTGCTTCTCATCCCAAGTGACTAGATGAACAAGTGAGAAAGATCGTCAGAGCTTGGATGTTCTGGAGATCAACTGGGACCACCCGCCTTTGATCTGGTCCTTGAAGTGTGGATTTCAGGACATTTGGACCACACATTCAACACCTTGTAGAATCCTATGGCTGGAAGGGACCATGGAGATCTTCTAATCCTACCCTCAACCCGAGGCAGATGTCCTCATACCATCTCAAAAAATGGTTGTCCAATCTTTTCTTGAAAATCTACAGCAATGGAGCATCTCTAAAATTCTGTTCCATTGATTAATCCCCTTCTATAATTAGTATACAGAGAATAGGATGGAATGGAATGGAATGGAACGGAATAGGACAGAACAGAACAGAACAGAATAGAATAATAGAATAACAGAGTTGGAAGGAACCTTGGAGGTCTTCTAATCTAACCCCCTGCTCAGGCAGATTGGTTGTCCAATCTCTTATTAAAAACTTCCAATGTTGGAGCATTCATAACCTCTGGAGGCAAGTTGTTACACTAATTAATTGTTCTCACTGTCAGGAATTTTCTTCTTCTTCTTCTTCTTCTTCTTCTTCTTCTTCTTCTTCTTCTTCTTCTTCTTCTTCTTCTTCTTTCTTCCTTCCTCTCCTCTCCTCCTCCTCCTCCTCCTCCTCCTCCTCCTCTCTCCTCTTCTTCTTCTTCTTCTTTTCCTCTTCTTCTTCTTCCTCCTCCTCCTCCTCCTCCTCCTCTCTTCTTCTTCTTCTTCTTCTTCTTCTTCTTCTTCTTCTTCTTCTTGGACTCAATGACCTCCAAAGTCCCTTCCAACTTATTCTTCTTCTTCTTCTCCTTCTCCTTCTCCTCCTTCTTCTTCTTCCTACTACTCTCCTTCTCCTTCTCCTTCTCCTTCTCCTCCTCCTCCTCCTCCTCCTCTCTCTCTCTCTCTCTCTCTCTCTCTCTCTCTCTCTCCCCCCCCCCAGGCATGCCCCACAGAAGCCTCCCATATCCTATCCCCTTCTCTCCCCCAGGCTTGCCCCACAGAAGCCTCTCCCATTCCTCCCTATTGTTTCCTCTCTCAGGCTTATCCCCCCAATTTAGGTCTCAACAGACTCCACTGCTCCATGCCTTCTCCTCCATCTCCCCATATTGTCTCCTCAGCTCACCCTACCCCCCCCCCCCGCTACTGTATTTTGGAGGAATAATCAAATAAAACTCTTCAAGCGATTCAGGCAACAGAAGCAAAATGTATATATCCTTTTTTAATGAAATTATCGAAGCATAACATACAAGTAAAACTAAAGAAAGTAGGAAAGTGGGAGAGAGAGAGAGAGAGAGAAAGAAGAGAGAGAGAGAGAAAAGGAAGAGAGAATTGTAGGGTAAGAAAAAAAAACTTCCAACAATCTTTTTTATTAATTTTTTTCCATTAACATATGTTAATTTTATGTTAAAAAAACCCTTCCAATTCTTTTCAGTGCACTAGAATAAAAGCAGTAAATATACAACTTCATTCTTTTTTTTTTTTTACTTTTGCATACTTGCTATATACCAGCCCTTTCTATAGTGACACAATTATCTAACCAGCAAATTCTAAAGTCAAAATTACATATTTTTTCCCCTGCTTTGAGCACAAAATCTAGAACTGGTTAAAAAAAGTGAAATGGTGGCAATGGGGCCTCTGAGCTCAGATCTTTTTTAGTGATTTGTATTCATTTATTGAAGACACAGAAAATAGTATGAGATAGACAATTAATTAAATAAATACAGCAAAATAGCTGAAAGTGACAACATGTAATATCTCTATATCCATTACATAAATTACAGAACGACATACTGTAATTCCTGGCAAATGTTCTCTGTACAAATAACATAGACACAAATATTTTAATGTGGGCATTTAACATTTTATATCATTTCTTCATATTTCAAAAGCATACCTGCACCCTCAGAATTATATGATTTTTTTTATATTTGCTCCTTAATAAATTCTGTAAGCAAATGCTTTTTATTTTTTACTTCTTTCTTAATTATTTCCATGCATGTCAAAAGAACAATTTCTTCAACTTTCTTTATTTTATTTTTAAAAATGTATGTTTTAAGGAAGT